CCTTCTGTTCATATTTTTTGTTAAAATTCAAATGAAAAACAATCTACTGATATGGACATTCTTCAGGAAAAAATAATTTAAAGTCTGTAGCTGAAATGAATTTAGTTTTGCAGCTTTCAGATAAATTTGGGGAATTTAATATCTTATGTAACCGGGGAACAATAATGGTACCATGTGTTTTAGATATCTACTCTCTGTATTGGAGTGAGACAAATAATTGCAAAGAACAGTTGCAAATATTGCAGTTTGTTCACACACGGTTTTCTGACAGTTGTAAAGAAGTAGTATTCATGTGTCAGGCAGTTTGTGGATAGTTTGAAGAATATTGCTACATACCCCCAACAAATTCTTCACTGTTGGTTGCTAATTTAGCTCTAGTTTCCATGGATTCTGTTGCACAGCTGAAGAGGAGCAGCCCTTGTCTATGAGAAGTATTTTCTTGCCCCGGGTAGAGATGAAGTAGGTTGGAAGTGATTCAGGTATAACAAAACCTTTCATAATGTGAGTATGTGACTCTGCCATTGCAAACTCTCTTAACCTTCAGAGCAGCAGAAATCTTAGAAAAATACGGCTGTAAGGGACTGCAGGAGGTCATTTAACCTAGCCTCCTGCTCAACTCAGTGCTTACCTAACCTGTGCTTTAAAAACTTTCAATGTGGGGACTAAACAACCACTTCTGGTAACCTGGTCCAACGCTAAGTCATCCTCACAATTAAAGTTCTTCCTAACATCCATGGACAGATCTAGGATTGCAGCAAGAGGGTTGCAGATGTATGTGGCATGTATGCAGTGAGTTCTTTGACCTTAACTGGCTGATCTCTACAATTGCCATAAGTTCTCTGAGCTCACCAGCTGATTGGCATGGGCTCTAGCCAAAGCTTCTACTTTCACACAGCTCTGGAGCCTGAAGGGTGAGTGTTATTGCTGTTTATGCTTCCTACCTTCCACCCCACCTCTCCCACTCCTCCTGCCTCCCCTGCTCAATTCATCAGCAGGGTAAAAGAGTGGAGGAGGAGCAGTGCACACCCTCTGGGCTTCAGACCACCAGAACCCATGCAGATCATCTGGTGAACTTGGAGAACCTATGGCATGTACAGAGTTCTGGCAGGAGGGGTGCTGACATGCCAATGAATCAGCTGAAAGGGGTGGGGGGCGACTGAGCAACCACACCCCCTTGGATCCACCTCTGCTAATATCCAACCTACATTTCCCTCGTTGCAATTTAAGGCTGTTGTTCCTTTAACCGTCCCCTGTAGCCACAAATAACAGTGTATCATCATCTGCTTTTATAAACACCCTTCGGGTATCTGAAGACTGTCATCAAATCCCTTCTTAGACTTCTCTTTTCCCAGCTCTTAGCTCCCAGTTCTTCTAAACTTTTCCCCTATGTCATGTTTTCCAGACCACAATAAATTTTGCTGTTTTCTGCCAGATTTTTTTTAATTTGTCCATATCTTTCTTGAAGGGCAGTGTCCAGAGACCTCACAAATGCCAAAAGAAGAATCATTTCCCTGGACTTGTAAGTGGCACTCCTGTTAACAGCAGACTGGGTTGTATTAGCCTTTTCTTGCAGCAAGAACATGCCATTGACCTATTCAGCCACTTTCACCCCCAGGTCCTTTTCTACAGCACTGCAGCCAAGTCAGTCATTCACCAGTTTATCCTGGTGATTGTTCTGTCCTACTGCAAGACTTTGCCTTTATCCTTATTGGATTTCATCTGATTAATTTCAAGTCATATTTCTATTTTCCCCAAGGTCATTTGGAATCCTAATCCTATCCTGCAAAGTGTTTGCAACCTCACCCATCTTGGTTTCTTATGCAAATATCCAAGGGTGCACTCAATTCCATCCTCCAAATCTTAAATGAAGATGCTAAATAATACCAGGCCCGGGAGAGACCCCTGGGGAATCTGCTTCTATATCGGCCCCCAATTAGACATCAAGCCGTTGATGAATATTCACTGAGCATGAAGACCTAACAAGTATCCACCTTACAGTACTTTTGCCTACATTTAATTTTCTTATCTTACTAATGAGAAGACACAGAATACTGATCTTGGCAGCTGCTCCCCTCCAACCCTAGATTTGACGAGTGATGTAAAAATCTCCCATTCTCCTTCTGACGGAATGGAACCACATGCACAGCTATCATATATTTGCAGAATGCCCATCATCACAGAATGTAGGCACCATTCCAAAAATGGAGCATGAGGGGTTCTTTGTTGTGCAATTGTTGTTTGCCTTGTTTGAAAAAAATCAATTGGCCCACTCTTGGCAATCACCTGCTTGGCAAGAAAAAGGCCCAGATACAAGTTTTGGGGCTGCTATTCATGTCAGTGTTAAGCTGACATGAAAGGACCTAACTTGAGTAAGAATGAGAACAGTACAAAACGTTCAAGCTGCCTCAAGTTTCTGAGCAGCATGCAGGAGTTCTATTATAAGGCTGTGTGAAACAGCACCACTCCGATTCAACTTGCATTTCGATGATTCAATGGAACAGTGTTTTGTTTTGAGGTTTGTTTCTTTTTGAAAGCACTGTTCCATTTCGTCAAAACTATTTTGCTGTTTTGACGCTATTTCGATGTTTCACCCATAGGTTATTAAGGGGAAACATAAAATGCGGCAGGCAGGCAGGCAGATTGGGGGCTTGCTGGCACCCCTAGGAGGGCTGCAGGGACAGTGCTGGAGTTCTCCCAGGGGTGAGAGCCCCTGATCTGCCTGCCAGATGAGAGAAGCCGGGTGCTGTTGCCAGTCCCAAGCAGCAGCACCTGGTTCCTGTCACCCATCAGGCAGATGGGGGCATGCACCCCCAGGAAGACTCCGGCACAGCCCCTGCAGCCTTCCTGGGGATGCCGGCGGCCCTGACCTGCGTGCCAGCTGACAGGAGCTGGGTGCTGCCACATGGGGCCAGTGGGGCCTGGGGCAGATCAGCTTGTGTGAGGACCCTCCCCTGCCTTGGGACCGGCGGCACCAGCAATCTTACCGGTGCTGGTCCCAGGCAGCAGGACCTGGCTTCTCTCATCTGGCAGACAGATCAGGGGCCTGCACTCCTGGGAGGACTCCAGCACAGCACCTGCAGCCCTTGCAGGGGTACTGGCGAGCCCCCAGTCTGCCTGTCAGATGACAGGAGGTGAGTACTGCCACCTGGGACTGGCGCTGAAGCCAGTAAGCCTGGCTTCGGAACTCGAAACTCTCTAAATGTTTTGAGTTCCCTTGTTTTGTTTCAAAACCGTTTTGAAGACTTTTGTTTCATTTCAATTTCACTGTTTTGCATTTGAAATGCATCAAAACAGTTTTGAAACGAAACACCAGGCGAAATTTTGCACAGCCCTTCTCTCTTGTTAGTTCTAGCAACCTTTGCTGAAATCCACACTCCCTGCCAGGCTAGACTGTTCTAAGTAAAAGTTCTACACTTATCTGTAGATCAAGTTTTGTATGGTGAGTTAGGGGTAAGACTGGTCATACCACAAGTAAGCACCATGGTACAGATCAAGCCTTTGAAGTACTATATTATGTTTAGTTTCTACAACATGCCCTATATCATTCTTCCAAAAATGTTCTACTATTACAGCTCTCCAGTGAAAAGACAGATGTTAACTATGTGGATTTTTTCTGAGTGGATTACAACTGACTGGCATCTCTTTTCTATTTGTATGTTTTGTTCTTTCTTTTTAGAACAGGAAAGTAGTCGTGCTTTCAGCAGAAGTCCTGGAATCGGAGGATCTATTCTCATCTGGCTCTGAATCATGCACCACTAGAGAGGGTTGGGGAACATTTGCATTCCATCCCCAGGAAGCTTTTTTACTTTAGGAAAAAAAACTTTGTTTTTTCAAATAATAAAAATAGTGAAGGAAAAAAGAACAAGATGAAAACCCTTTTTATTCACAAAGAGAAACAACTGATGAAAGAATTTAGACCTGCCTTCTGCAAAGATGTGACTTTAGCCAAGTCATTTTGCAAATCAGTGGGCTCATCTACACATTTATTAATAAGCAGTGGTTACTGCACGTTTAACTTAGCACTTGTATAATCCTAATACTACTGTGCTAGCATATTAGCACCATTTGTGCAGTGATGCACTACCGCGCAGTATTATTAGACTACTGTGCTGTTAGCGTATCATGTAGACATACCCGGTGAGTCTTGTTTGTTAGTCTTTCTTTTACAGATGGGGGAAACTTCTGGCTCTATGGCCCCTCCCTGTGCCACACATTGCACTTAAGACATGATAATCCAGGTAATCATAACTTAAATTGTTGTCTGAGCACACATCTAAGCAATAAATGGTATCATAAAACGCAGAATAAGCTACAAAAGATATTCCACAAAAAATGTGTAATAACTTTGTGGCTGGTTGCTATGATGCCAATAATTGAACATGTGGCCATGTGTGCCCTTGAGGCTAGGAGCCTGGGGGATCCTGGCAATAAAGTGTAACGAGATCTGATGCTGAATCCCCCAGTCACGCTTTGCAAGTGAGCCATGGCAGGAAGTGCGGTTGTGTGGATCATGCATCAGATCTCATTGCACCTTTACCTGCATGTCTGGCAGTGCCTAAAATGCTTCAGGCTTTATACAAAGAGAGCAACTTTGGAGTTAAATAATGTTTTGATTGTTACTGGTTAGCTTAAATGACGACTGAACCCTCCATTTCTTTTTTCTTCATGGGAGAAAGGCATCTGATTGCTTATTATAATTAGCGAGTATTGGTAAAGTAAAAAAATATCTGGGACCTGCTGAGGCATTCAATGGAGAAGGAGAGCGTGCAGTAAACACTTGTCAAATGGAATTTGATCAGTTTGGGAAAGGGTTTGTCTGACCTGGTCGCCAGCTGCAGCAAGGGACTGGATGACCCTGTGTTGCTATGGTTCAGAGTTCAGGCTCAGCTGGACTGATCCTTCATTGCCAAATCCCAATATGAGCAGGACTCTGGACTCCACACTTCCTGCCCATCCCACCCAGCCAAGCCTCATTGCAAAACAGCTAATGTGGAAAAAGCAAGACCTCTGACCCCTGCTCTCTCTATATTAACGTGGCATAAACACTTAGCTTCCAGATGAGCATTTTCTCCCTCCTCTGCCTATAAGAGAGAGACAGGTAAGAGCAAATTCAGCCTGTAGTTTCCAGCTGCGTGAATTATACTAATTGGTATATATGGAACATCCAGAAGTCAGTAGAGCTAGGGGGCTATGTATATCCAATTTCCTTTGGCAAAGGTCTGATTTACTCAAGCTATTAGCATTCCTCCCTATTTCCAAGGCAGTAATAGTCTATAAATTTGGGAGGGTGAAATTCATCTACTAGGAACAGGAACCCACTAACGTGTTTCATGGCAGGTCCAAGGCAGGAGGAAACAGACCAAGGTGCAAATGCTCTCTCAGGTCTGCAGGAGAAAATCTGGCCATAAGATTAAAAACTAGAAAGGAAACTAAATGAACTGTCTGTAAGCATTAGATAGCAGTTATCAACTGCCTAGGTACCATTAAAGGAATAGCATCTAAGGTTAGGAAATGTATACTAACAAGGCAACCTACAGCAAGCAGTTGCTGGTACACTAATCATGAGCCTTGATTAGTAGCCACTTGGCACAAGTTCAGCAAACCTAGCCTTTTCAGGAGGTAGCCCAACCACCTTTCCTGCCATGAGACGCCTTAGCTTTAGTGACTTGTTCATATATCCAGAGGTGATGTAACTTGACTACAGAGTTAACATCCTCCAGTGTAAATTACTCTTTTTGGTCCAAATAGTTGCAAAAGTGTAGTTAACTTTAACCTTCTGGCTTTGACTCCTGTAATACTGGTTTTCCAAAGACCCTTTAGTAAGGAGTCAGAGAGAAGAGACTGAATGAAAAGGAAGCAGTCCTCGTACTGCTTTGCTAACTGCAACAATGCTAATGTTTTTGTGCACTGTTAATACTAATTGCTAGCTGCATAAGCTTCTAGCAAATCCCAGGATAAACAGGACAGATGAAACCCTTCTGGACTTCTGCTCCCATCTTTTCCCTGTTGTAGAAACAAAAATGATTTAACCAGTCCATTGTTCTATTTCATTCAGTCTCCTATGTCTAATAACAGCAATAAGAAGGTACTATGTGAGAAGATGCAAGAACCCCTACAATATTACTTTTTAAACTTTGTCTGTACGGGTGGAAAGCTAATTGTTATCGTTACTCCCTATCAGGTTAGAAGTTTGCTTCTGTCTGGCAATGTGGAGATTTAGATCCTCTATAGGATAAATAATTTTTGGTTAAACACATGATCACCTAAAATGCTTTCCTTATTCATGCACCTTTAATACAGCAACTTAATAAAATAATACTGTATCATCATTTTGTATTGAATTAGGTTGGCTATTTAATAGAAAAAGAAAAGAAAAAACAGAATGCTAAATAGGAAGGAAAAAACCCTGCCTGCTACAAGTTAAGTGTGACATGTTGAATAGATATGCCACGATCAAAGGGTTAACTTGTGCTTCCTGCAGGTTTCTGTACCTATTGCTCTGAACTTGTACTACAAACCATGCTTCTGTCCAGGGCAGTGGCTATAGCCCTTGTAATGCTTCTCAGCACCAGTTTCTCTGGTAAGTCTGACAAAAGCTCTTCAGTCTATCTGGGGCATCCCTCAGCTTTATATGCAGTAACTTACTCTTACACAAGCCTATCCCAGCCACAAATGAAGGCAGAAACTTGAAACTTGGATTTTCACCATGACTGGCAGCATGAGTACAATGTTGAGTGCATTGCACTAGAGGATCCCTGACACCTCTTGACTGATGGGTTTATCTTGGTACTAGTGCTCTGCCCAGTAGGTGCTACTGTCCACAGAGGTGCTTGAGCACTAGTGGTAGTGTGCTATATCAGGTTCTGCTACATACCTCCAGGCTTTAGGTGCCACTAATACTAGGTGCATGGGCTTTATTTTTGGAGGCAGGCCTCTGAATCATAGTGCACAGGAATTCCAGTGTGAGGCTCTGCATCCCTGAATAGTTTCCACACAGTACCTTTCCACTGCAGACCTATGAAGGACTTGGTGCCATTGATGAGAATGGTCATTAGAGGTGCTTAATATTCTTTTTCCCTTCTTCTGTCCAGAAGTGAGTGCGAAGACAATTGAAAAGAGACACATCCGTCGTGACTGGCTGGTCATCCCTGACACAATTGCATATTACATATATGAATCCGTGAACAAATTGTCTCCTACAGTTGGGCAGTTCTTGGCAGATGTTGTTCAGATGCCAGTCATTGCTGAGCCCAGGTATGAAATGGTTTTCTGAATTCTTTTTTTGACTAGAGGTAGGAAAGGAGAAAGGAGAGTAAGGGAATATGGTTACCCTCCAGAGACCAAGATCCTTGGGAGAACAGTTCAAGCAACCTCTCACAGAGCAGAATACACATTCTTAATCCCGTCCATCAAAGTATAATTCTTCCCTCTTGAATACATACATGTGATGATCCATAATCAGCTGTACTGGGCCTATCTGGAAGCGCATGAATTGGTGCTGTCTGTTTTTAACTGTCTGAGAGAGGGAATCCCAGAGAGTAAATTAGGACGCATGATGGATTGATTCAGTTAGTAAATATTCCTCAGGCAATGGATGCTGGCAAGCAAAAGCCAGAAGTGCGTTCACTTGAGAGGTACCATTCCATTCACAAGAAGTCCCCAGACCTATCCTGCCTTTTGAAGTGAGTCTTTTCAGGACAGCTGTCGAGCTCTACATTCACACTATTATGCTAAGCTGTCAGGCCAGATTAGCTTTATAGGCCAAGACAAGGGAACAGCAGCCTTTTGACTACTGAAAATAAGAGGTTCCCACACCCATCTGCATACCTTGCTAATACATCATTGTCTCCTGCAGGAACTTTTTGATCAAGGAAACCGCTAAAATCACTGTGATGGCTGAACAACTGGTGGAAAAAATAAAGGGTGTGTGGAAGAATGGGGAAGCCTAAGTAGCGGGATCAAGACAAGTCACAGTCTCTGAATGTGTAGCCAGTTTTCGACAGTGTCCTCTCTCCCTATGGACTGAGCAGAATATTCCTCATATTCCCCAATATTGCCACTAGAGGGGGTGGAAGCTTTAAAGACTAGAGAATCCATAACCTTGAAGAAAAAAATGTGGTACTAATAACAGAGCTGCCAAGTAGCTGTATCTCTGTAGCTGTTTAGGAAGCCAATTTCTCCTTTAATAGTATAGCACTTTCTAATAAAACTTTAATTGCATTACAGTTCCTTCTGTTTCCTCCTTTGCATTCAATATTATACAACCACTGTCCACTTAAGCATCCTGTTCTGTGGAGAGAACTGATATGATACAAAGGAAGAGGCATGATTCATATGTTCTCAGTGATATGGAGGATCTCTCAGGTGAGCAAAACCAAGCTCAAGAACTACTCCTTTCTTCCATAGCATCCACATGAATGTAACATCTCACACGTGTTGGGGCAGGTGGTTTCTTTGGCATCTGCAACAGTCCACAGACCTACAGATGCTTCCGACACTAAGTACTACAGATTTTAGCACCAGCTGGGTTCCCAGTTACTGCATCTAACTGCATCTACATCTAATTGAAACTAATACAGTCTGGCACCTGTAAAACATTTTCCATTGGAAGATACTGACTTACCTAGAAAAGTAATTGTGTATAAACAGTCTGTGCATAAATCCAGGCTGGGAATCAGAGGCTTTCTAATAAGCATTGCAGCAAGGTTCTGCAACAACCTTTCAACAGGAGTCAAAAGCTCTCCTGAGCCTAACAACCTGTGGGGCTGGGTGGGTAAGGCACATGTTTTTGTCTCCAATGGCACACAAGGAGGTGAGATGGGAACTGGGAACCATCTTGTCTGTCTGCTTCTGACACCCCACACTGAATGACCAGGTCTGCTGTGGACAGTCTTTGGCACAAATCCTGAGCAAGGCTTCGACTTCCTGTTTTGAGAGTGGCAGTGAGCTGCCTTAGCTGCCCTTTCTTTCCACTGCACCCCTCCTGTCAAAATAAGGTGGGTGAAAAAAAATTTAGCTTTAAGATGGAGCTTGATCGGTTTATGAATGGGATTTTATGATGCAGTTGCCTGAAATAGCAAGGACTTATGGTCCAAAAGGTCCTTTCCACTCCTCATCCCAACCCTCTCCCAGGCTGGGTAAGGAAAACTCTATCTTACAGTTATGTAAACAGAGGTGTAGAAGGTAGGTGATTTGTGCATTATCACACTAGGAGTTTGGGGCAGAAGCTAGAGTAGGTGGCTGGGAAGTGTCGGGGTGGGGGAACAACGCCTTTTTACTCCTCAAGACAGGAAGATGCTTGCTTGGACTGTCAAAAAAAAAATCAGTCTTCCTATTGCGAAGCAAGCATTAGCTCTGTACTGGTGCTTGGAACCAGCTGTGTGGAGCCAAAAACAAGGTCACTGGAATAAGTCAGTTCTTGACCACAGCCCTGTAAATTGCCTCACCTATTTCTCTGCCTTGGATCCTGATACTGCTGTCTTGACAAGCTCTTTTGTGGACTTCTTGGTTGCTACTGGTTTCATCATGTGCTTTTTGTGTTTCCTTTTTTGTGCACACACGTACAAACACATCTCTGTACCTCCTTGTATGTAGAAGAATGAGCTGAGCAGAGTGCAATTTGAGCTGATGATGGAGTTTACCACATGAAAAATAAAGCAGCTATTTCCGTTATAAAAACAATTTCCTACCTGCACTCCACTCCTTGTGTTTGACAGCCTGCTGTTTTGCTCTTTCCTTCTCTCTCCCCTTTCACTGTAGTCTAAGTCCATCCCTCTCACTGAGTCATTCAAGGAGCTAGTTTATTTCTCCAGCTGTACTTATCTTCCAATTATTTTGCAGAAAAAATAAATTTATGCTTAATAAGGCTGGGAGTCTGGGGTTGGCAGAAAATAGCCTGTATGGCACATGGTAGCTCATAATGCTGATTGTCCTATCTGTTTCAAAATGGATGATTTTTAGGTTGCTCTTTTGAATACATGTATATCTATTTATGAAGACACTGTTTTTGAAGTACTGGTAGTATACTGCAGCTAGTTGCTGTTGGGTTTCTCTTCTCTCTCGCCTGATGGCTGTAGGAGGTAAAGAACATACTTCCAATATGAATTTTCAGAGTAATAATCTGTGCTAAAATCTGCAATGTTTTGGATGCTGATGAACACTTACTAGAAGTCCTTCCAATCTTCTTCAGTAATATACCCATTCTGAATCTTACCAACCTAAGTGATGACCAGTTATTTCTGCTACGTTAGCCTATGGAGAAATATGAGTAAGATGAAAGTTCTTTGTATATGCATCTGTTGAATTCCCTAATCTTTTTTTCTTTTCTACCGGTGCCTGCATGTGTGTGTGTAATTGTATTGAAAAAGGTTTTTTGTAATTTGCCAATCTAGCATAATCTACAAGTAGAAAGAATGTGAATGCCTCTTTCCTCTACCCTTCTGCCTGGCTCTGCTAATTTAGTTCATCTGTTGGAAAAAAAAATGGAAAGAATGAAAAGATGGCAGAGTTGGAACTGGGGCAAAGCAATGGTGAGCATCTGTTTCCAAGCTGAAACAGCATCTTGTGATCCAGTGGAATAGCATAGAAAATGAGAGTGTACTGGTATATTTTACTCCCACAGATTCACCGTTTGACTTTGGACATGGCACTTAATGTCTTTATGATTTAGTGTCTACATCTGTGAAATGGAGAGGGAGAAAGGATTTCCTGACTTCCCCCCGTTTCAAATCATTTCTGCTAAGGTACTTTGAGAACCTCTGAAAGGAGGGCTGTCAGAAAAAAATATTACAACTTAAGTGATACTTGCGTTTTGAGTAATAATCACCAGTTTGTGGTTGAGTTATTTCAACAATATCCCAGAATTATTTTTTTTAAATTATTGACTTTTTTTTAGATGGATAAATTATGCAGTGTATGCTCCCAATTTCTGAAATGTCTTCTTTATGTTAAAGTATTCACCAAATAGTAGAATGCATTGTTTTCAGAATCATTTGCAAACTGGCTGATTTTGGATACTGTTTGGCATAGGACAGTTCACACAGTGTAGTTTCAATGACTGAAATCTTTCAAAGGATGAAGATTAACAAAAAATGAATAAAGTATATCCAAACTTTTAGTTTTATAATGAATAGTTCCAAAAATATATCTGGCCTCAAATAAACAGCAACTTTATTTCCAGTCTTTTTTTTTTTTTGCAAAAAGATAAATTATGAAAAAAAAAGAAAACCCATTAGGAAAGCAATCAGAACTTAAGTTACTATGCTCAGTTAATTGCTCCAAAAGTCAATCTCCTTTTTTAAAACATTTGTGTGTTTTAATAGACAATATTAAAACATTTTTATTAAAAAGTTATAAAAATGCAATTACTGAAAACCCAGGTGTTAATAAATATGTTTCAACCAATAAAATATTTCAAGTAATTATTACCAAAAATATTACAGGCTGAAAATGGAAAAAAAATAATGAGAATTAGTTGCGGAAAAGGTCACTTGTTCACAAAGGAACTATTACTGTAAACAAACTATAAGTGGCTTTAAATAGGACCAGAAAGCTGTTTTTGTTATTCGATTAGTTCAAACTGTTAGCAACCCACAGCCTTGTTTTTTCGGGGGGGTGGGGGGGTGGGGTTTGGTTTTGGAGTTTTTTGTTTTGCTTTGTTTTGTTTTTGGGTTTTTTGGGTTAGCTGGTAGTTGTTTACACAACACAGCTGAAATAAGTTAATTTAATTACTTAGGTGCTTTAGATTTTGGTTTCTTGCAGGGTTTGGTTGAAACCCCCTGAAACACAGAATGGTGTTGCAGCCAGGTGAAGAAGGGTGCCTTGTACCTCAGAACTTGTCTAAATCTCTCCCAACTGTACAGTTGGTCCAATAACAGGTATCACTCACAAGTTTCCCTGTATCCTGAAGAAAGAAGGCATGGGGAGAGGGGATTAATAGGGGCCTTGGGTCAAGACCCTTTAGCCTGCAGGGCTGACTCCTGCCCCAGTCTCCACCTAAACTCATGGGGGAAATTCTGGGTGACTTGAAGCACTGGCACTTAAACTTTTTCAGACTTACCTATTTGACAAAAGGGGCTAACATGGGCTTGACACCCATAGAACAATGGGTACCCCCCTGTTATTGGGAGGGGGTGGCTATTGGGTATATGTCAGCTGATTTGGGGGGATAACTGAAGAGAAAACAGGGATGGTAGTGAGGTCATAGGTTCAAAGCGAGTGTACCAAGCACCTCTGTTCTCAGTGGTGACAGATGACAGGACAAGGAGCAATGGTCTCAAGTTGCAAGAAGGGAGGTTTAACTTGGATATTAGGAAAATCTTTTTCACTAAGAGGGTGGTGATGCACTGGAACAAGTTACCTAGAGAGGTGGTGGGGTCTCCATCACTGAAGGTTTTTAAGGCCTGACTTGGCAAAGCCTTGGCTGGAAAGATCTAGTTGGGGTTGGTCCTGCTTTGGGCAGGGGCTGGACTAGATGTCCTCCTGAGGTCCCCTCCAACCCTCATTTTCTATGAACATCCAGGGAAAGGCTTTTCTGTTGCATATTCAAAGTGGCAAACCAATCGCATCAAGAAAGTCACTTGCTCATTTTCTATGATTCTGTGATTTTCTATGACACCGAGCAGAGTGCACTGGACAATGCCCACAGACTGGAGGCACCCACCCAGTACAGAGTGGAAGCAGCCCTCCGCAGACTTGAGCCCCCCTCAGACAAGACCAGCTCTTAAGTTTGAGCTTGTTTTTTGCCCACAGAGAAACCCTAGAGCAGTTCTTCTGTTGCCAAGAGCTCAGAGAGGCCCACAGCAGGGCAGAAGCCTTTTAGCCCTCTGGCTTCCAAGAGCACACCCCAACCGCAGAAGAAACTTCCTCAGCCTGCCCCAGGATTTTTGGGGGGTTTTTTTAAAACCGGAAGCTTGCTTAATTTTTTCCCCCCCCAACTATTTAAGTTGGTCTAATAAAAGATACCAGATGCACCCAGAGACCCTGGTCTAGTGGAAAGCTCTGCCTTCACCTCGCCAATCGGCGTGCGAGCACCCCGCAGTCCCCTGGAAAGGCGCTCCAGGTCCCCGCCTGGGAACCGCAGCGGGAAGGGGGTGGCATGGCGTGTGCACACGCCAGGTGCTCCGCAGCCCCCTCCTCAGGGGGGCCGGCCCACCTTCCCTCCCATCGGCGGGCGCTCTCTCCCCGGGCCGGGCTCGCGTGCGGCGGCCGGGCGCCGGGAGGCAGGAAT